TTTAGTTGGATCCCGAAGTGGCAGAGCGCAGAGCGGTTCTAGGGCAGAGTCAAGCAATTCTGTAAAATGCACCAGGAAGCACAAGACGCTCAAAGGATTCGCTTTGGACGGAGAGAGATTCTAGGCAACGGCTCATGCCATCGGATAGGCTCCATCGTGAACTTGGTGTAGCCGAAACTTGCACTAGGAAGCGGTGTGTGACGGCAAGCACCGAAAGGATTCTTGAAGAAACAGCCGGACTGCTCTGTCGACCTCCGCAACTTCCGAAAGTCAACCTGGATATTGCTGAGCTCGCTGCCCATCAGGGTTCTCGATGAAAAAAATTGGAAGCTTCTCCTGCACCTCAGTTGAGGTTAAGGATTCCTGCAAGCAACACTATAGCTATAAACCATCAAAGACCATGCGTGGACGAGTGTGTGGGATTGGGGTGGAAGGTCCAGGACGAAAGATGCAAACACACCTTCACGACTCCGGGACTGAATCAAGCCTGGCCTAAGCGTAGTTCGGAGGATTCCCGGTCAGTGGTCACAGATCCGTTGGAAATGCAGGTGTGGATAACCGCGCGAAAGCATGCTTTGAATTGATATGGCTATGGGACAGGATTTGCAGTGCACACAGTCGGGTCAGAGTCAAGATGCTCCCAGTTCCAAAGCTATCCCTGGCCGTCACGGAATAACCAACGTACTTCCACACCCAGCAGATCATGTGGATCAAGGACTACCGAGGCACGGATTCTGCATCATTGGTCGCCATGGCTCGGCCAGGGTGGCAAAAGTCTAGATCTCCTGCTGCTCTGAATGCGCTCGGCTAGGGCTCGCGATGCATGACAGCAGTCGGTTTGTTGTGTGGTCCCCACTGGCCAACAAAGGCCCCTGCTTGATCAAAAGGAGGGTTTGATGGCTCTTGCTCAAGTTGCGTCGAATGTAGCTTGGTGCAAAGATGTGAGGCCATAACTCTTCGGCCTGCATCGTGCTGCTGGTCCGATTGAGACACGCTTTTCTTGGGCCGGCGGACCATGCTCACTCGCACTCGCGGCTCTCGCATTTGACGCCCATGGAAATCTGCTTCACACATACACAGGGCACTGCAGACCGGCCCAGGACCCTGAACTGGAGCATGAGTATTGTGCTCAGCTTTTTGTTTGCATGCGGAGGGTGGCTGTAGATTCTGAAGACCGATGATCTGTGTGGATGTCAGCACTTCAGCACTCAGGCACGCATAAACTATGCAGTCTCGGAGCACGCATGGCAATGGTTATTGGCAAACTTCGGAAAATGTTTCCTGAAACTTGTTGGCAGGGCGTTTCCGCATCTGACCCCTGGGTTTTGATTGGTCATTGCACGTTTAAGCATGACAACCCTGAAACTCGTGGTTCACGAAGAAGTGATGTTTCCGCGAATTCTGAGGGTCAGGGCGAGGTTTGACGATTTCTACAATACCAGTACAATGACGATGATCAGCATGATATCTGTGGCTGTCAATGGCAATGCAAACATGACCACTCAGCTACCCTATCGTAGCTATGAGAAGCCAAAACAGCAAAGTGGTTGTCGCAGTCAGGTTAGGTCAGTCAGGTCATGACCGGGACTGGAACCTTCATGAACCTTTGTGAAAAGCCAGCGGGCAGGTCTGGAAGTGCACTTGACGAACGACACGCACTGGCTCAAGTGTATCATCGGTTCTGCACTTTCTGCTGCTGCTGCTGCTGCACGAATGTCAAAAGCACATTGGTTCCAAACACGTCAGCCTTTTCCGATGTCAGTCATGGCCTTGCAAGACATGCTGGGCTGTGGGAACCATACTAGTACTTGGGGTTTAACTGCGGCCTGAACTCCGAATGCCTGAACCCTTGAATTCTGCCGCAAGCTCCTCTGAATCAGAACTGCTGGTATGCAGATCGTACTGTAGTGACTGGAGTGCGAGAAGGCGCTTGTGCGACCTATTCTTTCCAGTTGGGGCTTGGGGCTGTTCCGATGGAAAAGGAGTAGCAGTGGGCCTGGATTGTGCTTCAGCGCACAGTCATCCTTTCTGATCTTCAGCCGGACATCGATGATGCTGAATATAGCCAGCGCTAAGCGTCACTCAGTGACCACATGCTGCCATGTGAAACACTCATCATGCAAATCCTTCGAATTAGAAGCGCAGGCCAACACTTTCAGGGTGAACTGCCTTTGAACCTGGCTCTATTGACTGAGCCTTGAAGATCTCAGTAGCATCTGTTGGCTTCACAGAACTTCATTGCACTTGTTGAAAGCGTTGAGGCTCCCGTTCAGCAACTGTGGCGGGATCAAGTCGACCTGCACAGGAGGCTCGGCAAGCTTACGGCGTGTACTCTCAGCCGATGGAGGGGAGCACAGTATCTCGACTATTGGGATAAGACCTCAAAATGGAGGGAGATGGTGAGAGACCGTGGTCAACCTCAAGCTCGCAAGTTCATTTCTTCAAGCTCACATGTGAAGACCATCTCCACACCACGTACATTCCCGGAACAGCCCAAAGCCAAGGCTGCATATGTGCACAGAACAGGAAGGCTACGACGTGCCAGCTCGCGAGCGCCAGCATCCCAGAGTTATCCTTGCGGTCCACTGGCCGGGCTCTGACACCGCGGTGCAAGACACGGCCAAGGCGGCTACGGCTATGCGGCTGTGCTGCACCTGTAGCTGCAGCAACGTGATGCCGACGATCTTGGACACGGCGATAGGATTTCGACCCAACGGGGGTCGCCTTTGATGCTCGTGCAGCGCCGAATGATGTTCGCAGGCACCTTGCTTTGAAGACAAGTGCAATGTTGAGCTTGTGGAACTCGGAACTACCGCTTGTTCGTATTCGTCGCATCCGAGCAGCACGCGATGTGTCGCGTACAACTTGCCGCAACGCAAGACTTTTGACCGTCCTCTCACAAGGGTGAACCCTCTTTGAGAAGTCTTGCCAGGTGATCTTCTGCTGGACCTGGTTCGGATTTGTCCAAGCGGGAGAGCCTGGTTTTCAAGTCTACAACCCTCATTGCGAAGACGCACGTGCAAAGGGATCCCAGTAACTGCGGGTGTCGCACAAGTACTGGCTTCGACGAGGTCGCGGTCCTAGAGAAGCTCGTGGAATCCGCGCGGGCCCGGGCGCGCATTGTACAGCTCTGGCCATACACAACACGCACCCCGGAGGGTTCTTAAACAAACGCACCTGACCCTGTGGACGGGACACCACACGAAAGGGCAGCAATCAGGCAATCATCACAACCTGCTATTGAATCGTTCCACTTCAACTTTTTTCATGACGATATGATCAGATCTCCACCAAGTGGCCGAAAAGCCTGTCCCCCTCATGGCAGAGGTGAATGAGGAGCCCACTCCTGACTTCGCATATTCTCTTGGTCTCTGGCATTGCCAGCTGCTCTTTGTCCTCCACAGACGCCTGGAAGAAACAGGCCGTTATACTTGTGAGATAGCTATGCAGATATGCTGGTGATCATCATCAAAAAAGCCTAATTGCCAGTGTCATCCTGCATGGTCATTGTGCTCATTACTGTATTACGTCCATGAACCTAACGATCATGACCATGCCATCTTCAGTAACAATCGGCAGTTGCAAAAACAGTCAGAATCTTTATGCATGGCTGCGAATGGACAGCTCAATGTGGATTAGTCTTATCAGATATTCATAAAGGGAAGAACACGTGTAATGTGTATCTTGGGAGGATGCAGGAGTACCAACTGATGGCAAAGCTGTGCACAGATCGCACGAACACCAGCAGTTCGCTGGTGACCGGTACTGCGCTTGGCAATGACTGTTGCTTAGTATGTTTGTTGGGATTCGGAGCCTGCGGAACAGCATGACTGCTACTGCTGCAATGAAATCATGGCCGCCCAGTTCCAAGACAGGACGTCCCTCACATACTGGAACACGACTCCGTCACGAATCAACGCCAACAGGCTAAGGGGTTGCGGGTATAGCCCTTATTGACATGACGAAATTCTGTCTCGCAGACATTTCGCCCCGAACTGTGCCTCTGTATGGCATCATGACTGGGAAAGCAAAAGCTGAGTGTCGCAACTCTGAGCTGACGGTGTGTGTGGGTGTCTGCGTCTCGATCGTGGCTTATGAAAGCTGCCACGACTAGTTTTTATCTATCCTGAAGCTTGTCTGTTTTAGTGCTGTGGCACTGCGGCCTCCATCACTTCCGCCACTTCTTCGAAGCCGTTAGCTGGCACGAAGGCATGTGTAGATGAGGAGGAGTGAAGGAAACGCCTACCGGGCTTTGGGGCGTAAAATTACAGGGGGGCCAGGCTTGAGTGGGACAGGCTAAGGGCACCAGGGACCAAATTCCGTCCCCGAATTAAGAGGTGAGATGGTCGCAAAGCCTTGCGCACACAGGAACTGCTAAAGAACAAAGAACTCAAACCCTAGCCCTGGAAGCCATGTTCGCACTTCCCACCTAGGAACCCCTCACACCCACTGCCGGAATTGATATCATCCAGACACGTCCTGCCAGGAACCCAAACAATGCCCCATCACCCAACATATGCAGAAGAGGGCTTTGGCAATTGGGATGCATCGAATTGTAGATATCGAATGAAAACGTAAATCAATAGCGGACAAATTAACAAACACACATGTGCGTGTAAAGTAATATATATATATATATATATATATATATATATACATATATACACATAGGTGTGCACGTACATGTATATGTCTATATTGTATACATATATATATATAGTATATAGTGCGTGTATGCATGTATGTATGTAGGTATGCATGTATGCAGGTATGCATGTATATGTGTGCATGCATGTATGCATATATGTATGTACGTATGTATGTATGCATGTATGTATGTACGGATGTAGGTGTGTATGAATGAATGTATAATGTATGTATATGTAAATACCAATACATGCAGACATGGATATGCCAACCACTGCTCAAGTAGTGCTCGCCGGCGGCTGCGGCAACTCTCATGTCACGTTGGAACGTGCTTTCTGCACCCAGACCGGAGCCTTTGGCAAGCTCGATGGGATCTTCGCTGGCATTGTTATCCTGCAGAGCTGCTTCGCACGTCACAGAACCATGCCACAAGCCCATGTCCAATCGGCGGGCCTTTTGGCAAATGGTCTCCGAGGAGTATGCTTGGGGGGTTTCTAGCTGTCGAAGGTTCCCCACGAGATTATGTCAAGCGCGATTTCGCGTCGGTGATTTTGGACTTTGCCATCTACAACCATGTCGGATGAAGCTTGAAGGTCCGACCAAGCTCCCCCAAAAAATGTTGTCATACGCCAGACCCTCACCGTGGTTCGTGAGGCTGCGTGGCTCATGCGTCGTCATGCGAAACACGTTCCTCCAATCTAGTTCAATCCTGTGCACCAACTTTCACACTGGTCTGTCGAGATGTTGTGAAATTTGTCGAACCGCCCGCGTGATGCTTCCTCAAGTTGGCATCTAGTTGTGGTTGTTATCACGATGCTACGAGAACGGCTTTGCCCATCATCAAGCTTACTGGCACAATCGTTGACAGGTGCTAATTTTAAAGACAGTCCAGAAGTGGATCCGCGCCATTCTCAACCAACTTCTTCACCTTCAGTGCTGAGGACAGGATCCAGGTGGGTAAGCGCTTGTGACATTGACTGCATTCTGATCGGCATCCTTCTGGTAGATGGAAACTCTATGTGACGAAGAGGATCAATCCAAGCTACAGCGAGAGTCTACTGTTTGCCCCAGGAAGCCCCGGTGCCGCTTGGCGAATCCCGACATGTCCCGACTGTGGTGCGTGCAGGCGTTGAACTTGTAAGGTAGGCTGAAACTTGCAATTTGGGGGCCTAGGGCTTAGCCACACACTACACACAAGAAAAATCTGACTCCATGACTATGTGCAACAATTCGGAGCTTTCCTTGCCTTTCCGTGAGTAATCCTTTGAATTTGCTCGCATCACGTCACCCTTTACATGTTGCAGGTCTGTTGGCAATGCAGGTGCACAAGACAGAACGTGGAGAGAGTGTCCTTGGCCGCATTCTACATGCTGCGAACAGATTTGAGTTGAGCTGTTTCGCCTGCTCGTCCCAGCAGCCCCCTTGAACGCTAAGGTGCCCGCGAGCCTGCGCTCAACGGATTTCCACATCTAGAACTACTGAAACCCGAATGTCAGCCCCGGATTGCACTTTGAGCCCCTGGCCGCATCCAGGTGGCCACTACGTGCTGCCCAGCTCAGGGGGCTGTCGCTGTGGCGGTCCAGGGCATTGATCTGGCGTTTGAAGTGGGCTTCGGATTTGATCTGCTCGCAATGTGACGTCTTGTCGAATCCGTTCCATGCCATGCCACACTGGCATCGCTGGCTCTTGCTGGCAGTTACGGCCACATGAGGAAGTTGGAGTGATCGAGCTTGACTGCATGATTGACCAGACTTGAGGGTTGAATGACGGCGCTGCAGACCGCAGGGCTTTGCTTCCGGCTTGCGGCGAGGGGTGTGGGTAGGCTTGGTGGCTTCTGGTGGAGTGGACAATTTCCAAGCCATCAATTTATGTCCCAGCACTGGAACCCTAAACCCGCATGCCTGAGCCAACCCTGAACACTAAACCTAGAAATCGAGTTCAACCCTACAACATAACATCCAAACCCCTCGACTCCAAGTCTTACCACCAAAACCGCAGCTCCGAACCCATCCCTCCTTCAAATCAAGATGGATTCAACCTCGTTCCTTCGGCTCTTGTTGTTGGGTTCACTCCTTTGAGATTTTGGCTTTTTGGGGCGGTAATTACGTGAGGAATACGGCTTTGGCTTCACATTGGCACTTTGAAGCTGGCGGCTGACGTTTTCGGCTTGAGGTATGGGTTGGGATTTTCACCGCTTAAGGCTTCGACTTGGGGGGCGATTTATCTATTGTTTTTCCAGACATGCGGTTGAAAGAACCGTCCTCACACATCCAAAGAGAGAGTATTCGATGTCCTCAAAGATGACAAAGACCGGCAGTTCCCCGAAAGCCGGAATCGAAAAACCCTTTCGCACGCCGTGCGCGAGTTACCGGATCTCCCACCAGCACTTCGGATCCAAGGCTTTCAGCGAAACTCCGACCCAGCATCGCTCATTAATCGCAGGACCTTCACCTACACGCTGTCTCACAGTTCGGACCGTAATTATGCTGAGCGAGGATGAATCTACAGTCCCATAAAAAGCGAAACCAGATCGGCACACCTCAGCCTTTGCGTCGATGAGAAGCTCTACGGCGGCAGCCTGGGGGCATATTTGTTGAAGGCTTCAGGTGGGCCTTGGGTGGCTTCAGGCATTGGCAATGGCATGAGGTACCAGGTAAGAGGATCGTGATGAACTCACGCAGTACCCTGCAGCTGTTCGTCTGCTCAAGCAGTGATACAGTTTCCTAGTGTGAGGTAACATGCTATCCCGGACAACATTGGCACATACACGCTTGCTGAACACAGCATGTGTCTTGCCTGTTGGCAAGTCCGCATATCTTCACTCTGTATCATCTGTGTGCAGCATGTGCAGCTTTGAGACTTCTCCGTAGTGTTTCAGGTTGCTAGTTAAGTTCGTCAGGCGACTCGGGGGATTGTGACTCGAGGCAGAGCAAGATATCGATCGCTGGTTCTTCGGAGTGAATCACCAAAAGACAAACCAGAATTCCAGCTTTCGCTTCCATGTGTCAGCCGCCTCAATTTGAGTTTCCTCCGCAGCTTCCTTGTGCTGCGCTTGGCGCCCGGCGTGGCCACGCTGCGCAGCGTAGTGGAGCGCAGTGCCAAGGTACTTGTTGGTCTCACCAGCAGAGCCGAGGGGAAGTCGTAAGAAGGGGTGCCATTATCCTGCGATATGTCCCAAATACCTATTTTAGCTACTGCGCGCCAGCGACAGCGAGGAGAACCCTTCCAAAGGCCCCGAGAAGCCCGGAACTTAGACCACAAACTAGACTCTCACTGTGACCGCTGGACGTGTAGGCCTATCCATCCCAGCACAACCACCTGTCACCCTGCGCCCAGTTGCGAAGTCGCCAAGGTCGGATGCAGATGCAGATTTACCAGAGCATAGGTGGTACGGACGATTGGAGTTCGTCTGGATCTATGATGGCGATCATCATCATCAGCATCGTCGCCGTCGTGAGTATCGTCATGGCCGTGATTACTCTGATGCCAGAATGCAAAATGCAACACAGCAAGGCAGTCGGACCTGCCGCACATCAGTGGACCGATCACGGAGCAAAGCCTGCTTTCGACTTTCGAGGAAGGTCAGGGCGTTCTTGCTTTATAATTCATAGCCTGCGAGTCTTTGAAAACTTTTCTTAAGACGCGGGAAATTCTGAGCTGGATGCGGGCTGTAGCTCTCTCTCTCTCTCGCTATCTCTTTTCTTTCTGCTGGTCGTAGGGGTCGGCGTGCGAGCCTCGGGTCATGGGCCCGCCCAACCATCCGGTGTGTTAGGGAGTGGCCACCTTTTTTGGTCTCGTACGGCACAAACGACAAAGTGGGCTCCGAGCCTCCGAGTTGCAAGCCCCTTCCCCCGAACCGTATAACACACCGACTCAAGCCTCAGCCCCCGCACCCCTCTGGCGATCCCCAGGGCATGCAGTTCTCGAGAAATTAATCTCTATCTTTCTGTCTCTTTTCTGTTGGCTTGTGGCTGGGATGCCTCGATAATCCGCGTCCGCCCGTTGAAGGCAGCGATCATCTGAGTTCAGCCACAGTCACAGTGTGCAGCACAAAAACTAGGGAAGTCTCCCGAAACAGCCAAAACTGCAAGCTGCACGGAAGGCCTTCCTTGCATCCGAAACAGCCTTTGCGTCCATGCATCTCCATAAATCTAACAGTCTCTATTCGTCGCTACTACCTGTTGTACGGCAAGAGGTGATAGCAAGTGATGCCCATGGAGACTGTCTGCGACTCCTCGACCAGATCCTGTCACCTCAGACCTGATATCTATTTAAAGCTCATGCTGAATTTGACATTGGAAGCTCTGGGCTTCAGGGGGATGGGCATGGTTTCTAATCAGATGCTTGTGGCAATATTTTCGAACGCTTCAGGAAACCGATGAACTTGCGTTCTGGATGCCAGCCCTCTCAGAAAACAAATCCGCAATGGAGCGTGAGCGTACCCCGTGAAGATTTAGGTACTCTTTGTATTCCAGCAAATCTAGCAGCGCACTCAGAATATGCAAAGCAGTGATACAAACATCGAGAACCCGAATGCTATGCTACAGTTGTTAGCAGAATACGCTCAGCAAATAGCAACAGTGCTGGCAAACAAATGCTCGCACGCCGCGGATGCTCACAGACAGTAGGGTCACTAGGTCGGGTCACTAGGATCCCTGCCAGAGGCGTGGCTCCGCAAATGTCGGCTGCGTTGGTGCCTGTATGCTTGTGCAAGTCTGGCAATGACCAAACGCGACGAAAACGAGGCAAAGAACGGAAGCAAAAAGCTCTTTGCTCTGCTTTGCTCTGGCTCTCAGCGTCTGAGTGCCGTGCTGACACGGAGGCCGAGGAGCTTCTCTACGAGGCGCTCATGGCCATCCTACCAAACACGGAACGGAACGAAGCAAGGAAACGAAAAAGAGAAGAACAGGGACCGACGGAGCGACTGAGACTAAGACGGACTATGCCTGTATGTCATCCATGCCTTTGCCTTTCTCTTAGTTCAACACAGGTGTTTGCGGCCTGTGCCGCCCAGTGCAAAGGCGTCCACCTCAAAACAGGAAAGGCCGAAAACGTAGGCTCAACAAAGCAGGCTGTGGAGCAAACTTGCTCAGTGCCGGGCCAGTCCTTGTCCTTCTGATGTGCAGCATGATCTCCTTTGTCCTGCGTGGATTTCTGGTTCAAGGTCGCAGCTCCTGTGCCACATCTGACGTTCGTAGCCGAAGTTCCTCAACACTTGTAGTCTAGTGCTGACTGCGCTTCATCAGAGATCTGCATCTAGATGCTTATGATCAGCATGTGACTGAAACAGGAAAGGCGACTTGCCTCCAAGGGGTCGCGCCCCCTGACGTCATCTCGAAGGCACTCCAAGAGATCTTCCTGCAGCATTTACTGGTCCTAGTTAGAACATGTTAGAACAGGGAAGCCACGCTGCGTAGTGACGAAACTCTACAAAACAACTTCAGCGTGGAGGCTTTCAGCAGTATCTGGTTGGGCTCCAAGCATCCAGCAAGCATATTGCAGTCAACAGCATGCAGGATGAACGCCTCGTCCACCTCCCCGGAACGCAGGAGCTTCATGAGATCCTGTGAACGTCTCAGACGGCTGCTTGAAGATGGAGGGGATCATATTGCTGACTCACAAACCTCCATCCGGGCAAACAGGAAACGTAGGTAGCCGGCGTGGCTTGACAACGCTCCAAATCCCTCAGCGACTCATCAGGCAGGCTGCAGGCTCCTGTCGCCCCTCCAGTGGCATGGCTTGTTGAGAGTGTGTTGCTTCAGGTGTAAATGCTGAATCTTAAAGCAGCCTTGCATCTGCACTTCGCACACCTCAGCAAGCCGCTCGGTGACTTAAGCAAACTTCGAGCTACCGGGGGCCTGGGACAAGGGAAGAGGTGATGCAAATTGAGATTCTTTGCATGGCAATGCGTCCCATCCGCCTCAACCTCCTCTAAGCCAAAGAAGCATCAAAATTCATGTATTGAAACGAAGATCACGAGTGCGAGCGTCGTATACTGTTCCGTGCCAGCCGTCATAAACCAGCTTCGGGCTACAACTGTACGACTCACTTTTCTGCGCTGTCGGCTAGGCGGCTATTGTAGCCGCAAGTGGCACGCAGCCACGGCTCCTGCGTCGAATGGCAAGACGGGGCACCTCGCTTGTGGCTTTGTTAGTGTTACGAGGTTAGTTGATGCTTGGCCGTGCGGCTTTCCGGCCGCCGGACTCTGGCTGAACCCGGTAAGCTTACCTTTTGGTGGTTCCAGACGTCTCCAGACGCAACTTGCTGAGCAGAGGTGCTGCCGCCGTCCTTCCCATTTGCATCCAGCTCGATGTGAACTACGTCGCTCGCCACCGTCCGCAGCAACCTCCAGAGCAACAGTGTGGAGCATGAACACCTCTTCAAAAGCCTATGGTTGTCTAGGAGTCTAGCATAAGGCTCATGAGTCAGACCCCTCGGATCTGCGTGAAAATCACTGCAAGAAGCTCGATATCTCCTTGCCGAACCGGCACTCCAAACATTGCTTGGATTGGAAAGTGGCGTGTGCACTTCAATCGGTCTGGACTTCACAGGAACATGGTTCACGGTTATCGAAGCTCGCAACACAGCTCTGGCCTGTTGTGAGAACGAGAAACGCTGAACTAGTGTTGACTGGTCATGCTATCCCGGATATCCTTCTTGACTTTGTTTTCACTGCTACTTTTGATTCTGCCGTCGCTGCTGTTGATTGCTGTTGCACTGCTGCTGCTGCTGCTACCGCCGCTCCTGTCGTCGTGGTGTAGGGGTTGTGGGTTGCGGTTGCAGTCGTTCTTAGGTTGTTGTTGTTGTTGCTGCCGCTGCCGCTGCCGCTGCCGCTGCTGCTGCTGCCATTCTTCTTCTTCTTCCTCCCCTTGTTGCTGTACTGACGAGAACAGTATCTTCTTGACGCATCACATGTTCTACGATTTTTAGCTTGATTTATGAATACCAAGCTTGGTCTTGTTGCGACTACTCGCCGTTAATGCTCCAGTTCCTGCCGCTGAGAAACTGTCTCGCGCATACATTAATCCTGCACCCTTTGCTAGACAACTAGCCGAACGAATGCACGAGATATCCAACTTCTGCTGAGGCGAAAGGTGATAGTGTTTGGCTCATAATTAGTTCGTATGCCGAGAATGTTGCTGAGAACACAACTCCAATTTGTCCATGAAGACTGCTGAAGCTGCAGCTGTATTTGTCGCCGTGCCACTCAAGGAGGCCGCAACTCTTCCGCAGGCCAAAGGCGCTCGGTGGCGGCAGGGCCTGGCAGGAAAAGCCCGTCCAAGCCAAGTTACCAGAGACCGAAAAGATGCAAGCGCCAGGAGCTTGAGCACTCATACCGACGTTTTACTGCAGCAAACGAGCTGTTCTTGCGACAGCGGAAGATTCGTCTTTGTTTTTTCTCGTTGAATGAACATCATGTCTATAGCACATCCTCATACATTACATCCGATGACGTGTGGCCGAGTCTGGCCAACGACACACCAAAGCACCTCCACACAGCTGGAAAATCAGCTCCTATCCGTACGTCCTGTACGGGGTCCCCAACACCGCCGCCACCAACAAGAAGAAACATAAGACTAACAATAAGGCAGAGGCAGTCGTCGTTGTTCGCACAAGTCGCATGGGCAGTGCTACCACTATCACACTACGAGGACTTGACCGGAAAAGTCTATAGCTTTGTCGGACTAAGCCTGAGACACTGGGAATGTAGCTGGCAACAAGCTAGGACACAAGCGTTGGGCTGCGATTGCCGTCTTTGGGTTCAGTTTTGAAAGTCCTTGCTTAAAACATGCTTAAACGATCTCGGGACACCATGACGACAAGCTGTGTCTTAAGTAATGCAATTAATTAGGTGACTCATAAACCCGGACATTATGAGGGATCTACCTACTATAAGTGCCCGAACCTCCAAGCAACGTCCCGAAGGAAACTCCTCAACCCCGGCATCGGAAGACCCGAATAGACATCGATACGTTGACAGCGGATTGAAGCCGACCTATATCCTCAGCAAAGAAAACATGCAATTGTCCGCCGCCCCTGCGAAGACCTGCGGTGCTCGAGCTTGACTTTGAGTTAAGCTTGAGTGCAAGGGCGGCAGGCTCTTCGAAAAGCCTCCAACTTGTACCTTGAGGCATGTTGAGACCTGAGAAACTGCACGGGGAACTCAAGCAGTGCTCCTCCTGAGCCTAGGGGCCTAGGCCCCAGGTGCAGAACGCAAGCGCAGAGAGACGCCGCACCAAGGTCCCCAAGCTCACGCACCCTTCTGCAGCCTGCGCATACTTCTTCTTCAGCGAACTCGCTGGGAAGCCTTTGTCCCCAAACCTGGGTCTTGGCGCGAGACTGTGATGAAGCAGAGATAACTCTACGGCCTGAACTAATGAATACCTTCTCTCTTGGAAGAGCCCGGAACCACGCGAAGCTGCGGTACTTGCCCGGGTTCCCAGCTCACCAACGACGGTCAGCAAACGTGCCCTGCAGTGTCCGAGGCCGACTGTTCGTTCGCACTGTCTGCGGGGTCGGTTTCCTTATATCATGGTCCTTTCCCTGCCTGCTTCGCACTTGGATTTGGATTACTTCATGTCGTTTGCTGAGCGAGGGTCTTGTGCAGGTAGGCAATGCGTGAACTGGCAAGCGGCTTGAGTGCGTGTGGCTTAGCTCAGGATAGCGCCTTAATGTGAGTTCGACCTTTCTGAGTGCGTGGCTTAAAACGTTCCCGTTCGCTCTCCATGCGGTGGTTCACGGCACCGTCCCATGTAAGCATCAGCCGCTCCTTCCGCCGACAGTCTTGTGGGCTTGGATGACATTAGCAGACTTGTCTCGGAAGGTTAGGTGCCGGAAGTGAGTGCGCTGCTCAAACGGAATGCACGCTGTGCCTGGTGGCGTGGGTTGGTCTGCACGCCCCGACCCCCCAGCTTCGTCAAGTGGTGGTAGGCAGCCTGGCTCTGCTTTCGTGGCTACAGTACTTGACATGAGCTGGCTTGACGCGAGGATTCAGCCGCAAAGCGCCGCAAAACGTGACAAATGTTGGCGAGTCAACAACACTTACCAGCAGGCATCTCTTCAGTGCTCAGTCATGTGCGCCAACTGTAGAGAGATGTAACACATGTACTCAAATTTACGTTCCAAATCTTGCCGGGGGGACGTGCAGAGCCGCGAACCTGCAGCAAAGAATCAAAATGTCTGTGCCCAGTCGGGAGACGACGATAACCACGACGACGGGGGCTGTGGGGGGGGCGACGGCGATGACTACTGCTACTGCTTCTTCACTAGAATCGCTAGAACTGACAGGAGTGGGATCCTGGATCCTGCGCAAGATGGGTGTTGACTGCGCAGGCCATATTCCCAAAGTACGTTCCGTCCCACTGCCACTGCTCCTGGTAGGAGTCCCTTCAGGCGAGAAGCCCTGGATTCCTGCTCTGACGACACTTCATCAAACACAACGCGCTTGGGTAACTCTCGCCTTGACGCTGCCATTCTGTTGCTGAGGGGCTCGGCACATGCCGGAACAGCCATTTGAGTCAAGTCTGGCCAGGGCCGGGTGGATCATTCCAAAGATGGCGTTGCTCCACTCTCCAACCCCTTTCCCTTCCCTTGCCTTCCCTCAACATCAGCATGGATCAACAGAACGCATCAGTGAAGGAATCCGAACCTCCCAGTTTGCCTCCGCCCAAAACTGAAGCTCCTCAAACCTTCAAGCCCTCTTCTGGACGAAAGGGCTCTTCGATGCTTTGGCAGCAGCCAGGGCGGCCATCCTCAGCAGAAAGCGTGCTTCAGGGATTGGCGGCCAGGGGCTTAGATGGCTCACAGCAGACGCTCGACAATACAAGTCGAAACGACGCAGCAGGAATCGTCACGAAAATGGATTGTTCATCAAGCAGTACCAGGATAGTCAACACAAAGAATGGTAACCCTGACGCAACTCTCAGACACTGCTGCCTTCCAGTAATTACGCCACATTCAAGGAGTGCTTGACGGATTGATTCAGAAAGGATTACAGCAAAAGCGCCGAATAGGAAGTGCGCGACCCTTGCCACAGATTTTGTTACTAGTATCCTCTGCATTGTGCCACAAAAAGAGAGTCAGGTTGGCATGACTCTACACAACAGTCAGCATTTGCAAGCTGCGTAGGAGCCGAATTCATGGCATCTTGTCGTTCTTGATCGTTCTTGCCTGGGCCTAGTTCTGTGCACGCCAAAAGTCCGGATGGACCTCGCGGGCCAAACGCAGGTAGGCCTGGAAGCTCTCTGAAGCCACACATCGTTTCCCTGTGTCTTTGAACCAGGATTCCCAAGCCTCTTCTAGGAAGCCAGGGTGAGTTCTTAATTCAGGTAGTCCGGTATGTGTGCATGGGTGCGTCCGTGGGTAGCGAACCCATCCCAAGCCCAAACTTCGCGGCATGAGACAAACGCACGTTTGAGCAGGCCTTGACCCCAAAACATCCAAAACACTTCATGAAGTAGCTTTGCTAAATACTCAGTGAAGGGGCTTCAGCGTGTGGGCCAACATGCTCAGCCTAGGTCCGTGCAAGCCTGCCGAATCGTGTGAAGGTCGGCATCCTGACAGGGAACTTATACATCACGAGGAAGTTAGCGGGGTGGAATCTGCGAGTCGCAAAACGCTGGCGGCTCGTTCCAATTATTCCAATTACTGTATTATGTTTTGATAGGAACCGCAGCCCCAACGGTCCTAACGATGCGAATGCGTTGCGATGCGTTGCGGGTCGGAGAGCCTCGCGGAGGCCCAGTTTCAGACCTCAGTCAAAGCTCAAACGGCATGTTGTTGAGAAATCTGCTTCCCCCCGCACATCATCTCGTCACCGGCATCAGCATCCTCAGCAACAGGATCGGCAACGCTTCCTCATGGATGGACTAATCCTTGGGAGATCTTCAAGGCCTCCGACAGCTCGCGGCACGTGCAGCGCCGCATTCGTCGCGGAGCCACGTCGCCAAAGACGCGTGCCCGGCCTTGGGATGAAGCAAGTTGAAGAGCTCCAAACACCACACCCCGCCCGCCCCGCCCGGAGGGCCAAGATGGTCGAGGTCCCTTTTCTCGTCAAGCGATCTCGACCTCGGTGCCGACCTCCAGCGTCCGATCAGAGGGCGGCGCACCCTCGGCAAGGATGGGCCGGTAGTACCTCAAAGCGGGAGAAGAGAAGGCGTGGAAGGGCCTGAAATCCCTCATAGAGTGGGAGAGGCAGCGGCGCACTGGCCGAAGACGGCCTGACCCCGGTGCTGCACAAGCGGCCCATACACGGCATTGTCACCTGGGCACTGCATGCGCCGCAGCGCCAGATTGAAAGCTTTGCATCCTTCCGACACTTCCCGGGACAGGCTCTGAGCAGAGTCTCTTCCAGATCAATTGTTAGCTCTTACCGGGAGCTGTGGAAGGTCTTGTTATGTCTTATTTCTCGTGCGGGAACTCGCTGCTCGCCATGTTCAGCCTGGGCTTCCGGGCGCTTTCCTTGTCCTTGTGCCACATCGACGATGGCACAGCGAGCGCAGGGGCCCAAGCGTTGCAGACGGAGAGGGCCTTTGATCTGACGGAACCTTCTTGGAAGGCCACGCACCAGGTCGTCAGAGCTAAGCCGATGCTTCGTTCCCTTTCTCCATGTCGACTCTGGATGACTCTGCCCTGGTGCCATTGAGGCCACGACCGATGCGCATCTCATCCCATGTGTCCTGACAAGACCCAGCAACATGAAACAAAGGGTGAAGCGAGACAGTGGCACCTGGGTTACATAGTCTGCAGCTAGCTTTCTGGCCAAGTCCTGTGTGCCGAGAATCCTGAACCTAAGCCAAAAAAGCATGCGCCAAATTGACAACCCCGTTTCAGAGATTTGAAGAAGAAGTCATCCCCCGCCTCTGCGTGAGGCTCCATGGGGCCGTCGAGGATTACATTCGGCCGAAATCGGTCCTTAGATCCTTAGACATTGTTTTCTCGTTGCCGTGATTAGGTCTGTGCTAGACAGCTATTGGAATTCCGAACTAGCTCCAGCCGATGCGTATCGAGCTGTGCCCCCCGTTGAAGTTTCCGAGGTTCCCCGAGCTGGTTCTCGGGGTTCAGGCTTAGGCCGGGCGCCCCAGCCAGGCGCTTCCCGGCCGTTGCAGCGAGAAGCATTGTCTGCTTCGGCCATTCGTTTATGCTTTCTGGATCGAGCTGCTCGGGAGCTTAGGCTTATGCCGTCCAGTGCTTCCCAAAATCGCCCCATGGGGAAACGGAGGCACGCTTTGACCATGGCTGCAGTCCCGCAGGAGAGGCGCTAAAAACTGTCATGAAACGAGTGGTCGACTTCTCTGAGCACGCTTGTCACGAGCAACAAGCCGGCACAACTCTGATCCCCAGAAGGCTGAGGTGGCCAGGGACGGATTTCTGGAGTGCAGTGATACTGGCCTCGCTGGCCACAATTCTTTCCACTTTGCCCCAAAGATTCCTTCAACTTGCTCCAGTAGATTCCCTAAACCCCAAAACCTAAACGCTCAACAGCAGCGGAAGGAGCCGGAGTTCAAAGAATATTGGTTGAGAGAAACGCCAAACATCATGAATCGGGTTTAGACCATGGTCGGGGCCGGCGATTTTTTGAGGCAGCTTCCTGACGTTGCAGCTGGCTGCGCAGTGGAGTTTGCGACAAATTGGATTTGGACGTGGGCGGTGGTTATGCCAAACAGGCGAAGCGGATCTCATCACATGAGCCGGACTGCCTCGTGAGTATCCCGCTGCTGGGGAGGTTCAACGCCGACGACGGTGCCGACGAAAAGTTCGAATCATTTGACAAGCAGTGGTTACGCGACTGTGAAGAACACCAGGGTATACCAGGGCACAACGCACGGCAGCTTGGTGGCTTTAGTTGTGCTTCGTTAGTACAGAAAAGTTACAAGGTGCTCACGCAGATCATGAAGCAGTTTCACATTCATGCGCTGCTCTGCCCAAAGCCCGGCGTTCGCTCCAAATGTATAGGGCCCACGTGGACTGCACTGACATTGGCAGTGCGGGGGCTGATGATTCTGCCAGGAGGCCTTTCGGCTGGCACGGGTGCACGGCATGTGTAAATTCGCCAACAGTCTGCTCGTGGAGTTGGCCCGGCCATTCTTCGTGGTTGTTCATGGAGAATGGTACGGCCCCGCTGTGGGCCTTCTGATTTTGTGACGGAGTGACGCTTCTCAGGGAATGGTTTTTGACGCGTAGCGGATTCATGTCTCCGTCTCGCGGCGAGGGCCTCTGATTTAGCGCGGCAAGTCATGACTGCACACAGGGGATCGCCTCTCGAAAAAACCATGTTCTATTTAATTGCAAGTATAGGCTGCATCCGAAATGGGTTCTTTGCTTTTGAAAGCCCCGGTTCTGACGGGGGCGGCACTAAGGCGTCTACCGATGGGCACCCCTCTCTCGCCTGTTTTCCTTCCGTCAAGGCAACAGTGCCATTCCTCTTTCGCTTCACTTGCTCGCTCGTTCACCGACGAAGCCTTCGAACCTCCTCGCCTTGCGCCGTATGCATGCTGCTCATCCCCCCGGCTTCGTTTGTCTGTAGGTGACAGGTAGTCTCGTCCCTCACCTTGATTCGGCCAAGTGTGCCAACGCGCTCGTTCGTAGTTCCACATCGCTCGACCCATACGTTGCCCCTGAGCTCGCATCGCTCGTCACGCATCTTCCTCAATCATTCCGGCGTTCGGGTATCGTTTCAGACACATCTCGCATTTGTGCAACCTCCTCCTCCTCCTCCTCCTCCTCCTCCTTCTCCTCCTCCTCCTCCGCCTCCTCCTCCTCCTCCTCCTTTGTTTTTGAATTCTTTCTACACAGCTAAATATTGAATCTACCTGAGGCAACAAAAGAGGCCAAGGCAAGGCCAAGCCTCTGCAGGTATCTCTTTGCCTGTAGCTTCGGCCAAGGCCTGGAGTGACGCTTTCGACCTCCCGCAAGGCCAGCTCTAAAGCAAAGTAAAGCACGACAGCTTCCACGACATCCTCAGGCTGAATGCTGCACGCTGTCGATGCCAGATCTTGTCAGGCCGAGCAGCACTACCAGCAGCGGTGCAATGTCAGCCCTGCAGCAGGCATTTGTTGCACGAGCTCGGCTGCACTATTCATGTAAGCCAGGGCCATAACACCTAGTTTTGAATCGGAACAGCAGGTGTCTGCCCTCGGGGAAAGTCCGGACTGTCTTTGACATTGCTGGCTGCCCTGAACGAATACTTCGGCAACTCCGAATATGCTTGCCGATCAGAAGCAATATCATGCAGCAGTCAACGTCGCAGCTGGAACTTTGACTGCCATGACATGCACTGATCTTGACCAACCTGTACTACGGCACATGCCCAAGTCTTGACTGTCCAGATCCATTTCACAACTCAGGCCGGAACCAATGTGAACCTGCCGCAGTGCGTTTGCCTGTCGGTCTTGGGCCAGACTAGTAGAACAGTGTTCAGATGGGAATTTGGGCTACCCCAGATGGGAAGCTGTGCCTGAATGCTACAGTTCATAGTATCTTCCATCCCCCCTTCCAAGATGCTTGGTGGTGGTGGCACCATCAAAGTAAGCATTATATGGATCTTAGTTTTAAGTTTTTTGTTGACTCCCCCATCAGGATTCGGCGCAGTTTTCCAAGCGCGGACAGGTTGAGGGAATTGGATTTGGCGCAACCTTGGCCCAACCCCCATCTCCCCCACAGACTTCAGGGCTTTCGACCCGAGAATCAGGATTTGGGTTCCGGATGGATTCGGACCTTCTGAAAGGCACGGCAATACGGATTGCGGGGCTTGGGGATGCCTTGTCGGAGTGCTGCTTGGCTGCACGGGTTAACTTTTAGTTTTGGGGTTTGGGATGGCTTTCCATTCTACGGATTGCTGTTACTGTTTGGTTGTGTGGATGGATTCTGCGCTTTGGCAGATGCTTCGAGAACCAGTCGTTTTCTGACGGTTGATTTCAAGTCCAACTGCAACTACCACTTCACTACCGCCACTTTGCCACAGCAGGAAAGGGATGTGCATTTGAGGCTTCTGTGGCCCTGACTAGCCCTGCTTATCAGTGACGAGAAGACTAGAAAGCTGGTTTCAAACCCAAACCTCCAGCGGCCCCGAACCCCGAACACCCTCCCAATAATTTCGGGATTTGCGTTCGAAGCCTCGTTGAGGCCGGCTTTCCCGGCGCAGGGATTTGCGTTTAGTGCTTGGCTTAGCTTTATTCTTGAGGCAAGGGTGAGAGTGGCAGCCTCCGCTTTTTGCATTACATTATTCATCTCAGTGATTCAGCTGCCTGTAAAGAGACATCTAGTATGGCATGTATCTGACGTGCACCGCCGGCGGTGTGGCGGCAGTTGTTAGCGTGTTGGAACCATAACCCGAAGGTCCCTGGGTCGAAACCAGGCTCCGCTATGTTATTTATCGTCTTGACTCTTGACATCGTGCGTGTCATGCTGCACGGTTAGATATGCTTGGCAGCCAGATGATCAAGTTCCCTTAGCTCAGTGGTTGGAGCCATGGTCTTATGAGCCATAGGTCGCGGGCTCAAACTTCGCAGGGAACATGGTTCGTCGTCTTGGTGGCAAAGCGTAAGCTACTTAAGATTCCTTTGCGTTTATGGTGCGTTTGCAGTCGTTTGCGGCCTGGCAGAATACCCAATAATCGTTGGTTTACGGGCGTCAGGCCATGACCTTGACGCGGCAGCAAGAACTTAGGCAAGTCTGGTTAACAACTCAGGTCGTGCAATTCAGTGCTTTCATGACAAGTCCCCGTGGCCTAATGGGCAAGGCGTCGGACTTCTAATCCGAAGATTGCCCACAGGGGATGCAGTCTTCAGCAGAGCTGTCATGGCCAGAAGCCAAAGTTGCACGCCGGTCCCCTCTGCCGCAAGCAGGAAGCTGAGACAGAGTGCTGGTGGCTACCGGCTCCTGCTGGCTGCTAGCTTAGACTTTATACGCCTGCTCGATTCACTCGATGTTCGATAGTCAACCTGGATGTTTGTGAAACCGCGTGGAGCTACTTTGTGATCGGGTGTGCTCGCAAGAAAGGAAGCTGTCAGCTACCGCGCCGAGGGAATCCAGCGACTCGACTCGCCCGCCGAAAGCCCTGCCACTTCCACTACCACCGGCCACAAGCACGAGCAGACTGGCACTGCGCCCGCACCACCTCACAAATCCTCCCACCACTGCCGCACCACAAACGCTCGTCCGTCAGCAGCTGGCTTCCGCCACCATCACCCGACCCCGACCCGCAGCGAGGGTTTGGACTTCGATCTCGGGGTTCGCGCTTCCAAGGATTTCCCTCTTACACCCGAAGCTGACGCCGGTCCTGATCTTCCATGATCTTCCCCTCAAAGTCAAAGCCCTGTTCAAGGCCGGCGACAGCCCGCGAAGCGTCGCAGCAGCCGGCAGCGTCGGCCCAGGACTTCGGACAGCCAAGCCGCTGCCTCCGGGCCTCTCACAAAGACCGAAAACATCCGAAAACCCAACATGTGAACGTCTTGGATGAAGTTTCGGTAGGACTGCGGTCTTCGGTTTAGAATCCGGCATCTCTGTCGGGCTTCGTCGGACAACATCAAGCTCGAAACCTAATGTGCAACCCGTGTCCTCAGAAATCCGATGCTTCCACCTCCCCAACAGAAGCTGCCTTGGTCGATACCCACCACATTGTCGCCAAACAGGCGCGCTGCAGAGTCTGGTGCTTGCAGCGTGGGCCCAGGGTCACCTCGGGCTTCCGTCGAAGCAGTCGAAGAATCCACAGCCTCCTTGCCATAGCGAGCATTCCATTGCAGGAAACATCCGCAGCCAGAGCGCATGCAACCCCATCTGAATGCAATCGAGACGCCACAGGAGACCTGGCACAGAGAAGCTCCCGAGCTCACAACTTAAAGCTCGTTCAAGTTGATGCTCGGACCGCAGTAGCAGGGTGGCTAGAGCAGTCGAGGGTGCACACAACACAAAAAAGCCCGTGGCTATCAAGCCTCCGAGAACCAACTCGTCCGAAAGTTGACAATGTGCAGCGGTCGCCTCCAGCAGGTCGTAGCTTCCATCTACGGCGGCGATCTGCAGGGCTGACAGGGCTGGCAGGGCTCCGTGGGCTTCGCAGACTGCAGGCCGCTTGCTAGGAGCGACAATCCGCGGCCATCGTACTTGCAAGATCCCAGGACTCAGAGACACGGGATGCTTGTGTCTATAAACCCATAGCAAGGTACTTATAACCTTACTCAATGACGAAGTCGCATGATCCTCCAAGTAGCACATGTCCTAGAACGCAGGCTTCGGCTCGAACCATCACGAACCTGCAGGGATCCTTCTGTGAGACGTGCAGCCACAGTGGATAGCAGCGGCTCCTGTCGTTTTTGTCTTGCGAGCCAGGCAAACTTTTGGAGCCTCAAGTCATACTGTTACTGTAACTTGGAGGAGCATGGTTCTCTGACAGCGTCTTCGCATTCGGCGGAACTGTGGAATTGAGCAGGCACACCTCGCGCTGTGTCAGAGCTCGCGCTTCTGAAGCCACCTTAGTGTGTGGGCTAAGTCGCCCAGGCCCACCCGGAGCTTTACGGAAGCAAACATCAACAACAAGCGTTGCAAATCTTGGTCCTAAAACTGACGCCGCAGCGATTAGTTGCAGTGCGAGAGGACCCCAGGGACCACTGGCTCCGGACTGTGCTTAGATTCGCTGCGGCTCCTTTGAAGGAGTTGGGGTTGGTCATGGTACCAGTGGTTGTACTGTTCCCGGTACGAGCGCTCATGCATAAACTTGAACCTACTATAGTTCCAGCACATGAACATCGCAGACCCAACGACTTCTGAAGATGGTTGGTCGGATAAGCAGGCTAATGAGGTTCATGCTGTCATTAGACCGTAGATGGGAAGATGATACCGTCATGATGATAGAGCTTTTGATGCGGGTGGTTGATGGCATTCTATGATGATAGTAATGATACGGTGGCTGTCGACTTCACTGTGTAGATGGCAACCCCAGGTTGAGCCGGGGCACCACGAAGGTTCGATCTCCCAAAACGCCCTCCTGCCAGCTCGGCGGACATGCGTGCGGCCGTCGGGCCGTTGGCCGGATGCTGAGATCCAACTGAACACGTTTCGCTAGAAGGCAAACTCTGCCATGAGTGCAGTCTGAAAGCCATCTAGAGTGGCTTTGGAACCTGCTACTAGTAGGTGCGGTGTTTGTCTTGCAAGAACATGGAGCTATGTAGTTGCAAGCTTCAGAGATTTCCAGCGAGTGGAAGTTTGAAGCTCTGAAGTCCCAACGCCAAATCCCCAGAATCCCCAATTCAAAGGAAAGACTCCTGTGGCACAAGGGCAACATGATCCACACAAAAGCTGTTGGAGGAATCCAGGTCAAGCTTCCTCGGTTTTACCCTGCTTCCACCAAACCGTGGCCCCTCAACACACTTCCGTGAAGAGGGATTGCGCAGAAGTAACCGCTCAAACTGCAGTTTTTTGGGCCTGGACGATCTCAGCTCGAGAGATTTCTTCACCAAGGCAGCTTTTCAAGGGGTAGCGGTGAAGGCTGTAGATGCTTACCTCGCAAGAACATCCCACTCGACGAGTGCCGAAACTACGAGCAGCAGAGCTCACTGGCAGCCACAAGCAAACCTTGACTTTAAGTGCAGGCTGTTGCGCGAAAGCCTGGCGTGGATGCGCGCAGGTCAGCAAAGCGGCGCCGACTGCGCCAGCACATAGGATCTTCGACCGCCGCATGTGTAAATTCTGGGTTTGTGCTACAAGAGGAGTCGCCATAGCGAAGCCTGAAGGACGTTCCTTAATGTGATCTCCGAAGCTTCTGAATTTGCGTCACCTGCTGGCTCAGGAAACTTTGGGATGGAGCAGACCTTTCGGTTTCAGAACGGAGTGTGCAACGCTCTTGCATGCATATGTTGTCTTGCAGGGCCGCAAGTGAGAGCCGGACCACTTGCACTGATCAAGGACGCCCAAGGGTCATGACGCAAAATTCCCTCTAGGATGAGGTGTCGAGAATCATCTGCAAATTCAGTTCCAGTTCGTTTTCCACTCACCTGGGCACTTCAATAATTTCATAGCAATCCCAGGAAGCATCATTCATACACATCAATGAATCCCCAACTTCCTAGTCGTCATCCTCCTCAGTATCATCACCAGCATCATCATGATCATCGTCATCATGGCAATCATCACCGTCCTGTTTGCCAGCGTCACATTTGCACGATTCTTTGAGTTCACGTCCTGTAAGTCGCCGATGTAGATACAGTGTCAATGTATGGTGTCGTCACGAATGCAATTATTCGCTTATGGCTCCCATCAGGACTGCAGGTCTGTGTTAATTGCTCCCAGAACTCATGCAAGAAGCACACCACATATAACATATTACAGATGTGTGTGCACCAACGGCTTAGCCGTCCCAGAGACGTAGCACGCACACCCTATCTATGGATGGGTGTTCCGGGTACGACTTCAAGAAAGACCAAACATGCCTCGGTAATGATATGGTTGAAGGGCGCTCAAAGGGCCCAGCCATCTCAGCCAGGTCAGCCGCAAAGTTGCCAGCTTTGTCCTTGCCATGGCTTTGCAAGGCCACGGCTCTGCATTGAGGGTTCAGCATTAAGGCCGCTGGGATTTTTCTTCGACTCTTTTCTCCAAGATGTGAGCAGGAAGCCTCCCTCGCGTTCCCAAAGCCTGGACATGGAATGCTGCCGCATTGTCCTGCATGTCGTCACGCATGCCGCACTCCTCCCGCAACCAGCCTCACGTGAGCGGCTGACGCTACAGCTCTCCCGAACCGGAAACCGTGAAGAGGCGCCGAGGGAGATGCAAGCAGTTTTCAACACGAGTTCCTGCCCGTGTGCATGGCCGAAAGCGGACTTCTGGGAACCACCGAGACCATAATCTCATGATTGTCAGTATCCTATTGCAATCGAGTATACCGTTAGTGGCTTGAGCCAAACTCATGTATTACTGTGGTTTTGCGACTCGTCTTGCGGAATAATGATCTACAGATGTGCAGCTTCCTCTCAGGATGCGGCGGCAAAGCTCTGCATGACCGGACCATGCAGCCTGCGGTTTCAGTTTGGTGTTCGCATAGATGAAGAATGGACAGGACTGTAGCTCTAAAGATGTAGGGTTCAGGTTCAGGGCATGTTTGAGAAATTGAAGATGTTGGTTTGATGAGCAGTCGCTGGTCTTTCTCAGTTATCAGGAAGCATGGAATGCTTCATCTGTTGCCTTGGGGATTGCCGATACAGAACAGCCAAGGCCGAGCTGAACCGCCGACCTGTTCCACATGGACCTATATCGAGCAAAGATCCCCAAGGCCTTGTGCAAACAATGATGCCCATGCTCCTGTCCCGGCGGTGAGGCAACGAAAACAGGCACCGAGGAGGAGCTGTGTTGATGCCTAAAGCCTCCGCGGTGGTTATGACATACATTATCCCTGCTGTAGGGCCGTAGGGGTTGAACGACCTGTTGTTGAGCAGTCTATGACGATGCCGGAAGCAAATCCTTGGCAACATGCTGGCTGTTTGCACCTTCCCCAAGAGCAGGTTCGGAGGATGCAACCTAAAGGCTGACGATAGCAGATGAAGTCTCCTGCACGGCTCGGAAGTCGCAGCCCTCAGCTTTGAGCCTGCAGGTGGGGAGAGTCTGAGGTGAGACAACAAAGCATTCTGGGACATGCAAACGCAAGATTGATCGGGACGCAGAAACGATGCAAAGCCGTCAGAATGATTTTGCGGAATGCAGCGCATGCAACACAACGACAACCCTTGGCAGGGGGACGCACAGACAAGACAACTGTTGACCGTATGCAAGAATGCCTCAAGACCGAAAGCTTTTGGCAAGTGGGGCTGTGGCATTCGATCTTGGTTTCGCTCGCAGATGAGAGTCCCTGGGACCCCGTGCCAGCGCGCCAAAGGGATTAGTGCTGCACCCTGCCTGGCTTCACACGACTATTGTGGTACGTATCTCGCTGCTTCAGCAGCCAGGCCTCTTGCTACCAGTAGCGACATGACGAATCAAACATTCTGCTTCAATGTTCCGGTTCGGTTCTAGTGATTGTCAATGTCGCCGCTCCGCTATTGCGCTCCGACACATCCGCCATGAAGTCGATGTGCTGATTCGTTGTCTTTGGAATAGCCTTGGGTTGTGGCCTCTCGGCGACTTTGATCTCGAGGCATGATGTGTAACCAGATCCGAGATCTAAGGCTTTGTGTTTTGAGAGTTCCTTTTCTTCTTCGCAGCGGTGCTGAGTATCTATTTCGTCAAGGCCTTAGGCTTCAGGCCTTTGAACACTACGAGGCCTAGCCTCGCAGAAGGCATGTTGCAGCACGCAAGCCGGGAAACCAACAGACCCCTCAAGGACACCACGACAATTTGTCACGACAATGCACAATGAGCAACCCTTGCAATACCCGTTACGGCAGCGCCTGAAGAGTATCCAAAGTGCTTCTGCCTCCCGAGTCTCACTCTTCTGAAAGCTCGAAATCCTTCCTCAAAGCTTCGATGGCGTGGCGGCTGGCCCGCTCTCTCCACCGGTGCCTGCACCGGATCTACGACGGCATAAGTCTAGTCCAGAAGGCCAAGTTCACGATCTGACGCGGGACTTAATTCACTTTTGCAATCAGCCGGGTGCAGCCGAAACACACTTCTACAGACATTCGCATATCAGCAGAAGACGCGTTACACCTGAGCACGGCCTTTGATCAAAAGGAGCCTGTGCGACAGGTGTTCAGCAGCCGTGCACTGTAACTGCAGTGTCTTCGATCCGCGCGTAGTGTTCGTCCACGGCCCTTCACCATCACTGGGCGCACTGTCGTCATCTCTTCGTTATTGAAATCATCATCATTGCAATCGCTCATGCATCCGCACATCACCCTTCATCCATCATTACCTCTCCTCCTCCCCGTCATCAACCGCCTCCTCACCATCCACCCGCCCATAAAAGAACTTAAGCACTCATGTACTCACGCACGCTCACTGCTCATTCACTCGGTATCCTCATCTTCATCCCCATCATGTTGACCTTCATCCACAGCGTTACCCCTCAAACGACTGTCTTCAGCGGCCATTCAACAGGGCCGTCATGCCCATCGGCTGGATGATTGCATAATCAGCTACAGGAACGCTTTGCCGCTGACGCTGTCCACTTCGCAACCGCAGGGTCGCATTGGCTAAAGAGAGACATGCGACCCAAACACTTCGTCGGCCTGCGAGAGCCAATGGGCCACGGAGCAGCCGAAGCGGTTTCGTTGCAAAGCATCGGCGCCGGCCTTGCGACGTTTTGGTCGATTCTGGGAAGGAAGATACAAGCCTTGTACAAGTAACTCGGCTTGCGAGTGTTTGGGAAACTTTCGTTGATCATGAAAAGCAACTCCAGTTCGCTAATGAGCCCAGGGCACACTCGAGCCTCCTGCACCAACCACTGGCTCGTTGTCAGGTGGTTTTGCCAAACCTGTGCTACGTTATCATATGTGTGCAGCAGCATCAAATGGCTCTGCGCAGTATCGTCTGCCCTAATCTGGTGAGGCTTGGATTCCCGAGCTTACTTCACAAAGCGGGGCACCGTTAGCACGGCTGATGGTACTGCTGCAAGGAGACACACTGCTTGCAGTTGTTCTGCTTCTGAAAGGCTGTTCCTAGGTTGGTTGCTATCTGCCATGCGTCTCCGCTAAGATCTTAGTCGCGTCCTGCCCCAGTCATTCGGATCTGCATCCCAGCGGCTGCAAGCTGCAGTGGGGAGACCTTGAATCATTGAATGCTTGACCGATCTTGAATGCACGATATCTTGCAAAGGAGCTACTGGAGCTCCGTTAAAGTCAACGAACGGTGACGCCCCGCCAAGGCCGGACTCGCCTCGTCGCGTGCTGGGCGTTGCGCATCACATCGGGATTCAAGGAGCCACCGGCAAACCT